AAAAGGACCATCGTGTGTGTGTGTGTGTGTGTGTGTGTGTGTGTGTGTGCTCTTCTCTTGCTGGCTAAATGAAACCAGATCCTAGCCTGCTCAACTCAGGCTGAGTGTGGATCGCCCAGCAGATGCCAGAAATAACATGCAAAGGATGGAACTTGGGTGACAACCTGGCGAGCAGCGTTATGCTGATCTGCTGCGTCATATCAGAACACAATATGTGACATGTTTACTGCGACTACACGAACAAAAGGTGATGCAATAGTCCGCTTCAGTACAAAGTATAGCCTACCACAGTAATAGTGCCTACGCGTGGCAAAATAAAGACGCATCTAAGGGAAGAGACCAACCTGTTGGACACTGGGAAAGATTCCTGGGTAATTTCACAGAAGACAAGGCAGCTGTTTCCATTAGAAATTCTAAATACCATTTGGAGATGACGGTGTAATGTGCAGACATAATACACCCTGTTTTGTCCCCAGGCATACACCACCACTTTTGTTTCTTTGAATTAGTGCAACTTCATCGTGGTAGGCGCCACGTTGCACAATTGCAGTAGCCATGGCAGCCACGCAAACCACTACCTCCAGCCGTATTATGTTTGTGAAAGTGCCAGAATCTCATCAAAAACGAATAATGCCCTGCTTTTTGAACTGTGAAGAAAAGCTGGAACAAGGGCACAGCTTCATACAAGCTTCCCATACAGGTCAGCTGTACAGATAAACACTTGTGATTCAATGGAGCTGTCACTCCAAGGCCTCCTAGGAGCTTTTTGGGGGCAGACACACTGACTACGAGCAAGGAAATAATGAAAGAATGAATGAATTCATTTGTTCTTCTGTCTGTAGCTCATCATAAACCAACACGCGAGGCTGGTCTCGGCTGTAGCGGGCTGTGTTACATTGTATGGTGCATATCCCATAGGCATAGCATCATTTATGGCCTCATAAAGGCATGGTTTAAAACAAAAGTGGAAGTCTGCTAACTGGAAAGCCCTTTTGTATGAAGAGGTGTTAAATGTAGGTTAACTGTTCTGAACTCTAACTGATCTAGACTTAATGTCAAGTGGATTGGCCAGGGCCGGTTTTCCCAAACACCCTCTTAGCACTCAGATTAGGTTCGCTCTAAGGACTTACACAGAACCAGACTTGATGGCAGCACTTCCACAGCTCACGGGGCTTTTCACCAATATGGAATGCCAGTCA